GCCGTGTCCTGCCCAGAGCCTCCTGCGGGCCGGGGTCCTCTGCAGGGGCAGTAGCAGAGACCACCCACGCCCACGCAGCATGTTCCTCCAGTGGGGATGGGAGCCATGTCAGGGCTGCAGCCAGGCTGTCTCACACCTTCCCATCCCTCGCAGGTGAATCAGGGGAACATGCCGGGCATCCAGAGCACCTTCCTTGCCATGGACACAGAGGAGGGCGTGGAGGTGGTGTGGAACGAGCTGCTCTTCACCGACAAGAAGGCCTTTAAAGCACACGAGGTGAGCCATCCCTCCCCAGCGAGGACGGTGCCCACCTCCCCTGAGACCACCCGCTGCACCTTCCTGGGCGGCAGCGCCGGTCCCTGTGTTCGTGGGCACGCCTCGGCCAGCTCTGCTGATCACAGCCCTGCTGTGCTCCTGCCTTCGTGGCATTGTGCTTTCCCTGTGTGTCCTCTGGACCCCAAAACCAGCTTTCTCATTGACCGGGGGCACAGCCTCCTCCCCAGCCCCAGGTTCCCTTGCTCTCAGACATGTCCTGCCACGTCCCAGGACCTGCCACCTCACCAGCCCTCTTTTGGCCCACAGGAGAAGATCAAGACCATGTTTGAGCAGCTGGTGCTTGTGGATCACCCCAACATCGTAAAGCTTCACAAATACTGGCTGGACGTGAAAGACTTGAAGGCACGGGTAGGGAGGACTCAGGGAGGCAAAGTGTCCATGGGGTCCCCAGGCTGGGGGAGGGATGCCAGCAGGAGCCAGGTGGGGACCCCAGCCCTGCTCCTCGCCCCAGACTCCCCTCCCTTGCCCAGGACACTGCTGCCAGCAGCCCGCTCTCACCCATGCGTGGAGGTGGGGAAGCTGATGTCTCTCTTCCCTGCCAGGTCATCTTCATCACAGAATACGTGTCCTCAGGGAGCCTGAAACAGTTCCTGAAGAAAACCAAGAAAAACCACAAGGCCATGAATGCCAGGGTAGGTTCCCTGGGAGGACATGCAGGGGGTCCCAGGTGAAGGGGGTAGCTGTGTCCGCTGGCACGGAGAGGGTCTCTGGTCTCTTCTAAGGCAGAGCAAGAGCATGTCATTGCTCCCTGAGTTGCCCAGGGACTCTCCTGTAGGGAGATGGCATCTTGGTGAGCAGAACTCCCCCAGGACAGTGCAGAAACGGATCCTGCTGTCAGGATCTGACCCCGAGGGTGGGAACCTGCTGGAAGCTGCTGCGGTGAGGTTCAGCTGCGTGATGCTGCCCGCTCCTGGGGCTGCAGTGTGCTCCGGGAGGGACAGCGGGCTTGTGGCTAGGTTATTACTTGGGTTGGAGGGACCAATTTCACCTGCAAACACACTCAGTGTGGGTCTGACTGACAGTTTTGCAGGCAGGTCTCAGCTGACTGTGACTGGGGAGCTGGGTGACTGTTCTGGGGTCACCTTGCAAGCCCTGCCGTGAAGTTTGAGCTCAGTGTCACACCAGTGCGGTTAGGCGCTCCCAGAGCTGAGACTCACTGTTGGTGTGTACAGAGAAAACCGTACACATGGACCCCACAACCATAGGTTTTGCCTCTGTCCATGCTTCCACCGGGGTTTTGGGGCTCAGGGGAGCTCTGCCTGCCGGTACAGACAAGTTCTCAGCTTCGATGGTGTTCTTTGAGCAGGGGTCAGAAAGGAGATTGTTCTCACTCTTGCATGGCTCATCTTTGGGTAACGGTCCCTGCAGGGCTAGTGGAAGGCAGGTTGCCCCAGTCGCTGGGTAATGGGCAGGGATGGCCTGATCTGCTGCTGGGCTCCAGTGGGTGTCCCGTCTGATGAGAGCTCTGGTCTCTGCTCTAGGCCTGGAAGCGCTGGTGCACTCAGATCCTGTCCGCTCTCAGGTAAGCTTGCCATCGCTTGCGCTGTCAGCCGTCCTGCTTCTCGCTGGGCCGGGCACAGGTGATGTGCTCAGGGCAGCTTCGTGCTTCCCCAGCTTCCTGCACTCCTGCGAGCCTCCCATCATCCACGGCAACCTCACCAGTGACACCATCTTCATCCAGCACAACGGGCTCATAAAGATCGGTTCAGGTAGGCAGCTGCCCCCCTCGCAGGCCTGTGGCTCCACGTGCTGATGAGAAGAGTCAGCAGGAGGAAGCTGCCCGCCCAGGGACGTGGTGGGGTTGTGCGGGGTGGCGTGCCGTGGGGATTCCACCTGGGCAGCGTTGGGGAGAGCTGTGGGGTCCCTCGGGATCCCCTGTGCAAGGCTTGGCGTTACCTTCTCTTCTCTTGTGTCCTCTGCTCCATGCCTTCTCGCTCGTCTACTTCGGGATCGGCGCTGACCCGCAGTCTGGCACAGGGTGTTTGCAAATGGTGAGTGTCCCTCTGCTGCCAGCACTTCAGTCCTGTCCCCGGGTCGACCCTCCCCTCCTGCGGGCCCTGGGTGCCTCTCACCGGTGGGGCACTGCGGCACGGAGGAGGGGGGGACCTTGAGGAGTTGCTGCTCCTGTCGTGGGAGCAGAGGGGTCTCCTGGGGGAGCGAGTGCCCCACGGGGGGTCTGCGTGGGCAGGAGCGCCCACAGAAATCCTGGCTACCTCAGAGCACCCGCCTGCGCTTGCAGCCCCGGGGAAGCAGCTTGGGAGGGTTGTGCTGCAGAATGTTTCTCGTTCGTGACGCAGAACATTTCTCGTTCCCCGGCGCAGCCCTCCCGGACGACCTGCGGAGCCCCATCAGGATCGAGAGGGAAGAGCTGCGCAACCTGCACTTCTTCCCCCCGGAGTACGGCCGTGAGTGCGGGGTCTGTCTGCGGGGGGTCGCAGGCAGCGTGGGTGCCCGGAGGGACGTGGAGGGGGGTCCTGGGCGCGGTATGTGTGCAGCAGTACGGGATTATTCAGTGCACTCGTAGCTAAAGCTTTGGCCATGAGTCACGGAAGATCATGTGGTAATGAACAACAGGGTGCTAACGCTGTAGGTAAAACGTGGTGTTGATGAGTGCAGAGCACGTGGGAAAAGCAGCTGCGCCTACACGGGAGTGGACCGGGCGTTAGCAATTGCTGGTTAGGAACGAGGTCTCGGCATGGCCACGGATGGCTCTGAAAAACTCAGCTTACAGCTCAGGAATGCTCGAAAGCATATAGAATGTTACAAGGGTCAGGGAAAAAGGAGTAAAGGATCTTTGTGCCATGTGATAACTCATGTCATGGTCCCCACCTTGGATCTTTTGAGGCAGGTTTGAGGGGAATAAATGGGAAAGGTTTGTGCAGGGAACTGTGAGAAAATGTGTGCTGGGGTGGGGGAAGCAGGGGTGAGAGCAGGGGTGTGCGGGGAGAAGTGTCTGTAGGGATGAGGCAGGGTGCAGGGGGCTGTTCCCAGAGCAAGCAGGTGCTGGCCTGTACCTCTGGCCTGATGTGATTCTGGCTTGGTTTTGCAGAAAAGGCTGACGGGACCGCTGTGGACATCTTCTCCTTCGGGATGTGTGCGCTGGAGGTACGGAGCAGGATGGCTGCAGTGCCTGAGAACCTGCGGGAACCCCCGGTTACAGGGCAGGGTTGTTCTTGCTGAGCCTCCTGGGGACTGCGGTGGCCTGGGGAGCTTCCCAAGGAGTCTCCTTGCCCTTTTCCAAATCTCACTGAGCTGGGGATCCCTTGCGGTGATGGAGACATCACTGCTGGCATCAGCAGAACATTTTCTGCTGCCGTGGCCCACCCTGCCCTGGGTGCAGCAACAGGCTTAGCTCACCTCTTCTGTGCTCGGCTGGTGCCTCCTCTTCCTCCTCAGGCTGTGACAGCCCTGGGAAGGGAGGGCACAGGGAGCAGGGACAGACCGTGCTGCTCCAAGAGGATGTGCACCACCAAGCACAGCTTGCCCAGGCAGACTGTGGGGCTGTGGGTGCTGTCTGCGTTGTCCCCCAGTCTGCACAGTGCCCAGGGAGCATCCTCCTGTGTCTGCCCTGCTGGGAACCTGGGAGCAGCCTGGAGTGCTGTGGGAGGCGAGAAACTGGCCCCCAGGGCAGGGACGCAGCGGCCAGGGAGCACTGGGGGGAAGCCAGGAGATCTGGAGCTTGGCCAGGCTATGCGTCCTGCTGAGAAGCCCCACAGCTGCCACCTGCCAGGGGATGTCCCTTTGGGCAGCCCTCAAGGACTGACCCAAGGCTTGGCTGCGTGCAGACACGGCTGCGCTCCTTCTTCCCCAGATGGCAGTGCTGGAAATCCAGACTAACGGGGACACGCGGGTCTCAGAGGAGGCCATCATGCGGGCACGGCATTCTCTGGACGATCCCAACATGCGGGTGAGTGCTGGCTGAGCCTCCGGGACCCGCCTCGGGGTCAGGCATCCCTCCTGGGGTGCAAATCTCCCCATGAGCGTCCTTCCCTTCGGCTGGTATCTGGAACGTCGGGCAGCCTGGCATTGCTGCACGCTCCAGGTCACACCAGTGCTGGGAAAGGGGAACGGGGATGACGACCTACTGCAAACCTAAGGGCAGCCAGATCTGGTGGGCTCAGGAACCCGGGGATTCCCTCCCTCCTGGGCTGGTCGAGGCGAGAGGCTGGACCTCACCCCTGTTTCCCAGGCGTACCAGTAGTAAGGCCGAGTATGAATTCCCGGTAGGTGCACGTGCGCACACGTGCGCACACGCACACACACACACACACGCTCCGTAGAGATGTGTCCAACCGCAAATCATCCAGCACAGACAGGGCAGTGCCACATCCACGGGCGCAGACAGCGTGAACAGCCAGATCCTGCTTCTGAGCGTTGATGCTCAGGGCAATCCCTTTCACAGGTCACTGGTACCTGGCCCCATCCCACCAGCCTCACTGTTACCGATCCGACCCGTGGTCTGCCCGATATCTGCGCCCCCTCCCCAAGCTTTCACCTCACTTACAGCTAGTCCAGCTTGACGTTTGCCAGAGGGCCACACGTGCTCCCAGGGAACAGAGAACAAACTTACACTGTAAATAGTTAGGAGTAGAGTTTAATAAAAAGATGGGCTAGACCAAGGCAGAGCTCAGCCAGACACGTGTATTGACCAGCAGAGTGCTTACAGGCTGCTGGCACCTTCTGTCCCCCTCCATTTTCCTCCCTGACCCACCTCAACCTCTCCCTTCCTCTTCCTTTGGCCAATCCCCCCAACAATCCCATAATGTTTGTGCACTCCCCACATTCTCTTGTTTGGTCTCAGAATTCCCCCGGGCATCCCATAGTAAATCCTGCCCCCTTTGATGCAGCAGTCCCCTTGTTTGCATGGTGTCCCAGGGAGAGTTTCTGTTGTTGAGCCTTCAGCGCCGGGGCAGACGGTGTCACTGTTCCCCCCGATGGGCAGCTGATTTGGTTGTGTGGGTGCCCACCCCGTCATCCTTCCTCTGGCCCTTTTTTTGGTTTTTGCCTCCACTCTGAATAGCCCGAGCCAGATGCCTGTACAGAGCAGTTCAGGAGGTCAGGCCCCAGGCTGAGGCGTGCAGAAGAGGCAGAGGATCTTGCTTTTCTGCCGTCAGTGTTAGCAGAAACGGCCAGTGCGTCCCTCCCGTCCTGCTGCGGTCAGGGGTCCCTCCCGCTGGCTCAGTCTGCCCTTTCTGCAGTCCCACCCCTGTCCTTCCTGGTGGGTTGCTGCTCTCGGCAGTGATCTTGGCTGCTGGCTCTGGGGTACACCCTGCCTGTTCTCCTGACAGCCTGTTGCTGGGCTTGCACTGCAGCCTCCTCCCTGGACGAGAGCCCACAGGGAGCAGAGGTCCCACGGCCAGGCTGTCGGGGGGCACCCAGCAGCACGCTGCCCGCTGCTGCTCGGGCGCTCGGTGCTGCTGACCTGCCCTGGGGCTGCCCGCAGGCAGGAGCAGCCGCTCAAACCCGCTCCCTGGGAAACGCAAGCGTGAGAGGAGCCGTGGCTGGCCGCAGCGGGGATGAGGGAGGGGAAAGTCCTGCTTTGCCTCCGGTTTATGCCTTTGCTTTGACCCTCAGGAGTTCATTCTGTCGTGCTTGACCCTCAACCCTGACAAGCGACCAACAGCTAATAACCTGCTCTTCCACCGGGTGCTCTTTGAGGTCCATTCCCTCAAGCTGCTGGCAGCACACTGCTTCATCAACAACCAGTGTGAGTCACCATGAGACCACCCTGCCCCGTTTGAGCTTGCGTTGCTGCCCTGCCAGAGCTGGGGCTGTGGAGGAGCCTGGGGAGAAAGGCAGCGACTTGTAGCCCTTCCCCAGGGTCTCTGCTGCAGAGCCCATGTTACAGGACCTCCCAGCTGACAGCCCCGTTCTGCCTTTGCCCTAGATTTGATGCCAGAGAATGTGGTGGAGGAGAAGATAAAGGAACTGGACCTGAACATGGTGATGGCAGAGATCCGGAGGGAGGGTCGTCCTGGAGCACAGTGGAGGTGAGGATGAGCGGGAGAGATTTCAGAGCAGCCATAGCCATGAGCCAGGACTTGCAT